TTTGCAAACGGATGGCGTAGTCTTACTCTTTCGCGAATTTTGTAAACGTTTTTGACATTCATAAGCATGCCCAAGACGCATCTAAATTGAATAAACGTATTTTGATTTGATTTGATTTGATTGAAGTGAAAGAAGTGAATTATAGTGAATCAAGTAATAATTTAATTTCCTAAAAAAGAGAAGAATCAACCTTCTCTTTTAATATTTTACAGGAGCGTTCGGTCTTCTTAATTCTGTTTAATTTGAATATGGTTATGGTATGGTTATATATAATTAAAGGAGGCATCATACACAGTTCCCAATTCATGTTTACGTAAACTTAGTTCATTAGAAGGCAAGGCCCCGGTAGACCACGCAATCACTCAACATGTTAAATATAGTTTTGTATTTGTGTTAGTGCTATTACATAACGTTACACTGACATTGATGGATACTGCATTGTGAGAGAAGCAGTTACAAGCTCGGACAGTGACGGCATGTGGGAAATCACCCACAGATTCTGCGAAGCCGTCATGCGCCATAAAGAGGCGAAATTTTTTATTTTTTGGAAAAAGAAATTTATTCTTTTTTTATTATGTGGCATTAAAAAATACATACAACCCTTATAGTTATTTTTATTGAACTAAAAAAATGTTTCATAGAAATAATATACATGGCAAAACGTTTGCCGGGTCAGGTTTATAACTAACCCCGTATTCCTATAATTAATCTGGTCAAAGTGATTCTTCTACTAAAACTCACATCTAATTGATTTTCTATATTTCTGCTTTTACATCTCTCAATACATTCAAGACGAATCATCGTTGTGAAACAATTCTAAACAATACTTTGAATGCTGTATTACCAATACATTTATGTAAGCTTGTTAACACCTCCGACGACTACATAGTCGGGGAATAATCTGGAAACGTTTAAAGGAAAAAAAAAAATGCTGTATTAGTAAAGCCTTCTAAATTGGTAGTGAAACTACCACACCCTTTTTTATAGGGTGGGGGGCAATCGGGCTTACGGTGCGCCCAAAAAGGGCAGTCATCGCGGCCCATGGGCACCTATTTTAGTGGCTTCGTTGCCGGCCTTAAAGGAGTGTGATCATTTTTTAAAGAATTGGAGGCCGTATCTCCCAGGGAAGACCCACATCGGGAGTCGATTCCATAGTTCCAAAGAATTTGTCTTTTGAAGCGGACCATTGCAGACTTCCATCAAGTTAATACGGCTCGTACGGTGATGAAACGAGGCAGAAGAAATACACAACAAAGTTACATACTCATACTTAATAATCGTAATGGAATCTATATTCGTCTGACATTTTGATCTTCACCTTTATTGAACCCTTATCAATGTTATACTATAGACATTCAAAGTGATAGAGCAAGATCCCAGAACTACCAGACATACTCAAATTAAATATACGACATGTGGTTTGAGTTTTTTGTATCCCCGTGACGTTTGTCAACTGTCAAGTATACACGCCATTACGCTTACATCGGTTTTTGACAGCACAGATTATATATACCTACACGACCGCTGGTAATTTAAAAAAGTCAATCGTATTCTTTTACATGAACTTTTACATATATACTGACAGTCAGTTAAAATTGCTTTTTCACGACTATAATTAATTTTTTAAATAGTTAATATTCAATTTTAACTAAGCGCAGTAAAGCGACAGTTATAAATAGATTTCCATTAAAAAATAACGAGTGATAAATGTTAAAAATTAAATATATAAGACTTATATTTTAATTTATAGCTCTTAATATACGTGACGTAAATAGAAAAACCCAGCGGATAAAAAGCAAACATTTTTTGTAGGAAATAATTACGTTTATAATATTTGTTTGCTACGCTACGCGCAATTAAGTCTGGTGATAAAAATTGTTAAGTGTTGGAGTATGTCTGGTCGCTTCTGCGTATGAAACATATCCGATACGCAGGTCTCAAAAGAGGTCTACGTGTAAGAGTTCACATAGCTACTATGTTCACATAGCATGGCAGTTTTCAGTTCTGACTATTTCTCGTTATTTGAAAGTTTTGAAGTACATTTTTCCCCTTAAATCCTACTTATTACTCGTCACTCAATTGTGTTAGTTTTTGAAGTTATACTTCTTTTGGAAAAATTATGAGACTAAATTTTTACGATGCGCACGCACACCGACACAAACCGACACCCTGAAGTTAACTAGCTATAGTCAACATTTAATTTTGTGATATTTAAATAATCTTTATTTAACTAGATAATACGTTATAATAATACTTTCAATGTATTAAATACCGTTATTCTATTGTTAGTGTCGTTTTTTCTACAAACGTAGAATAAAAACTTTGAAAAGTTTTTTATTTTGTTACACCAAAGAAGTATAACTTCTAACTCGTGAACTTAAGTAGGTACACAAAGTTTTGTTTTGCTAAAAACCTTCTATAAATGAATAACAATAAAATTCATTTTTTAAACAATTACGAATTTCCTTTCGTAAATGTTTGAACCTTTTTGTAAATATTAGGTATTGCATTTTCGATATTATATATTTAGTATAATTGTTTTTTGTCATATATAATGATAGCTTTAGGATTACACAATTAATAAAAAAATAAATGTTGCTATTTAAATTTAAACACAGTAATTTATAATATCAACAGATAATAAATGTCTTAATATCGATATAGACGAACAAGTGTTATATCAGTTAGGTCCGGGGTTTGAGGAGGACAATTGTTCAATGAACCGAAGAAATCTGCGCAGTACGACGACGTCACGATACATCTACGCATTAACTTCACCTTGTGACGTCGCGTGCGCCGAACAGTTAACGTTAACAGACCGAATATCCAAAGACCGATTTCCTTATCATTTTTTTTATAGAACAAGAAACAAATATGCAGGAGGCTTACCTGATGTTAAGTGATGGACATGGACACTCAATGCCAGAGGGCCCGCGAGCGCATTGCTTTATAAGAATTGGCACGATCTTTTTTTAAAGGACTGTTAATCAAATTGGTTCGGAAATAATTCAGTGGGCAGCTGCTTTCACATAGTATTGGTGCGCGGAAAAAACTGTTTTAAAAAATTTTAAGCCCAAAGATTTAAAACCCTACTTTGTTAGATTTTGTTTTGTCTGTTAATTTTCGAGAAAATATTATGGATTTTTCGCTAAGGAAATGTATTAGTTAAAGGTACTTCTTTTTTGTGCCGGACGCATTATCAAAAGCTCTAGACCATACTACGAGTATTAGTACCAAATTTGTTTTTAATACACCAAATGACGTTACATATTTTGTAATTTATTAATAATGTTTATCTATTCATAGCCAAAACCAAAACAGGAAGTTAGTTAACGGAACTTCCGTTTTTATTACTTCAAACTTGTTTCAATGATAAAACATATTTTCACACCACTTAAAACAATAGATAAATCTAAATATAGTAAAAAATTCTGGAAACATATGTATTAATAAATATGTATATTATATAACAATAAATTGTGTTTATATCAAACAAGTACGTAATCCGGTCTTTAATTCCCTAAAATGCTACTTCAAGCTCATGAAGGAGAAGTTTGCGAGAAAACCAGGATATGAGTAAGCAGCAGAGAGTAAGAATAAGAGTCGAGATTTAGCGCTAAGTATTTGGAGGGTACGAGGATACGAAGACTGAAATGGAAATGGGCTGGTCATATAGGTAGAGGTATAGAAAAGTGAAACAAAAGGATCATACCCAAGAAATAAACGAAGAAAACGAGGTAGACAGTTTTGAAGGTGGGAGAACGAAATAAAAATCGTAACAGGGATAATATGGACAAGAAAAAGCTCAGAACAGAGCAGAGTAGAAAGAAGTGGAGGAGGCCTTTGCCAAAGTTGGGCAAACAGATGGGTTGTTGGTGTCACCGACTCACTAGAGCCACTAGGTAAAGATTAAATTAATTTACATTCTGTCTGAATATATATATTATTATTATGACTCTTGTATGAGAAAAATGTGAAATAATAAGAAAACAGCCCAAAAATAAATTTTCTACATCAAACACAGAAACTACTTGTCATTGTGGATTACTGATACTACCAACTGTGGGAGCCAATTGCTGCACTTTGTAGCCAAGACAACAAAGCGTTATTCAACTGTAAACAGTCCAGACTGCAGTCAGGCCGAGCACTCGTGCAAATCAGGCATAACCTTGCGCACGCGCCGTGCGATCTTGATTGATTAACAATGGAAATCTCTACCGATAAGACCGTAACAGTATCCAATTTTAGGAAGAAACTATTGACGACTGGACGCCAAGATAAAAGTTATCCTAAACTCTTAAAAATATATTCTATATCTTATAAAGCATGAATTTTTTTTATTGATAAAAGTGTGCCAACGCTCGGCACACTGATACATAAAAGAACTACAATATACAATACTGCGGAAAGGGAGGCGTCGGCAGTTACACAAACTAATATAATTATTATTATTATCATTTCGTTTATTCATAAAAATACATTGATTACATATGATGAGTGTCGATTTATAATGACATTATGTAGAATTTATTAATTTACGTACCGTATATGTATGTCAAATGGAAGAGACCAGCTACCCACGACACAGGGAATCTTAGTGTGGGGGCTAGTGCACTTTCTCATTTTAACTGTAATCTTTTTTATTGTGTGTAATAAAGTTTTTTTTTTTAATGACATACCAAACACACAAAACAACACTGCCTCCTCATGCCATGCACAGATTATGCGAAATAGAATACAATATAAAGAATAATACGAAAGATTCTCTAAGTAAATAAGAATGTATTACGATACGATAAGTAAGCACTTACAACTTAAATGACACCAAAAGACACTATTAATATATCTATAACAAATATATGTATGAAAATGTAAAGCTTTATCAAGAAATCTCTATCTTCCTTCCATCTTCTAGGGTTCTTCTGGGTTCGATTCGAAGAAATCTGAGCACCGACTTTAAAAATGATCAGACATGGTAATTATGAGAAATGGTTTCTTACCCGAGTATGACGAGTTCTCCATATTTAATTGGAGGCTTTGGCTTCTGTTCTGAACCACTCTCACCGGCCTCCTCTAAAATTGGTGACTCCGTACTCTCTGCAGAACTGAAACAGGAGAATCTACTTTAACTATTGGTCCGCTGAGATAAAACTTACCCTAGCGACTATTTTACAGAGCCAATCATATTATTTTTATTAATTTATGAGCTGCTTAAAACATCCAGCGATCTTTTTTATTTGAGTTTAATTGAGATTGAGTTTGATATTTGATTGAGTAATGATATTTGAGTGACTCTGTGAACATATAAGATCTATACTAGCCACTGGGTATATAAACAAACTCTAAAGGTATATTATGTACATATAAAATACATAAAATGAATATGGTATAGATATTATGGTTTTGTTAATGTTATACACTGTTGATATCCTAAAAAGTTAAATATTTAAATTTTCTATTTCTTAATTTTTAATAATTATTATTATAACTATGTAAGTTAAATTCACATCCATTTATTAATTTATGTAACATTATTCACACTTATGAACGTCAATAAAGAAATACATATGAAATGCTTCTAATTTTACATTTACTGCCAGTTCTCAAATCAAGGGCGTAGAACGGAAGAGAAGAACTGGCAATAAACTCTCTGCCACTCAATTTTAATCGCCATGTTTCTTGTTTTACAAAATCTTTGTAAGGAGCTGCAACCATTACACCATGTTCATGTTAAGAATGTTGTTAATACTGTATGGTTGGAAATAAATACTAATAAGACGTACTTATTTTATCGCGAAATAAAACAATTACTATAAAGTCTGATTATTTAAAAATTAGTCTTATTAATGGCACTTAAATTTAAATAAATCCCATCCTAAAAATATATTTAAAGTTCATTGCATCGTCCTTTAGATGAATAATAATCTACCATTTGAGATTAAATGGACAACCGCGTGAGGCTGTAAGCAAATAACAATAACACCAGAGAAATTGGGCAAGTTATTCCGAGAACATATTTCTTCCTTAAAAGCTAAAAGTACTTTGAAACCGCTCCACTTCCGTTCCAAGGTTTTGATATCCCGAGGTCAAGTGTAAGATTAGAAACTGGTTCAGCGTTGTGGGTCAAAACAAGTCGTGTAAATTATGATCGTCATGGAAACCGGTTCGAAATGCATACAGTGAGTATATGAATTGAAACGAAATTTAATGAAAAATGTTTTACATGAGATATTTTTGTCAAATGTCAGAATGTTATTTTTGCATTAAATATAGATACCAAACGTTATAAAAAGACAAACTAACGTGTTTAAATATTAAAATTAACTAGCATTTTTTAACTTGGGAAGTTATTCTCAAGTCGTCGTCTTCTTTCTTAGTTCGTCTTTCCTAAATAACATAAATACATATGTACATTATTCCGTCAAATAGGTATCACGCGATTGACTGATTAATTTATAGAATAACGAATTTTTGTGGGTTCAATATTTTTTTACTACCTACCTTCCAAATTCAAATTTTATTTAACATTACCGTACATCAAACATATTTTCCTGCCTCCTTTGTCATTAACAAGTGTTTTATCGATCGTAAAGATAGGCTATCGGCCCTTACTTCCACAAAGCAAAACTAGGTCACTCAAGCACTAAACACAGCACTTATCTACTTCACTAAGTACATGGCATAAATACGCCTCTTTGCCAAAAGAGTTAAATTAATAAATTAAGACTTCATCTTTTATATTTATTGCATTTGGGTCGAAGACTTTTTGAAGCTTTTTTAATTAGTAGCTAAGCTACTATTAAATTTTAAAAAATAAATCAGTGGCGTGGGTCTAGGCCTCAGATATCTGTATGTTTTATGATAATTTGTTAATCTAATAGGCAAATAGGTGATCAGCCAGTCAGTCTTTTTCCCCACGATGTTTTCCTTCACCGTTCGAGCGAATGTTAAATGCGCTCATAGAAAGAAAGTCCGTTGGTGCACAGCCTGGGATCGAACCTACGACCTCACGAATGAAAGTCGCACGCTAAAGCCACAAGGTCACACTGCTCTTCTATTCAACTTTAACTATATGATAATCATCAAATATTATCATCATAATAATACAACATTATTACATAACAAAATTATTTTCGAACTTAACAGTATTTCATAGGAATTTTATGTACTTTACCGACTGCCTGGTTTGACTAAGGCCAATGCTTAGTTATTTTTTGTCAAACCTTGACACACGAATGTCAATCGCCTCTTTAACAATAACTAATTGTACAGTTATGACGGATAAAACATATTAAATACCACTAAATAGAAATTTACTGCCAGTTTTTAAATCAAGGTCATAGAACGAACGAAAAGTGGCAAGAAACTCTGGCGATTTAAAAAAAATGTCGTACTTGACATTTAAAAATACTTGTTAGGTTGCAAGCATTACCCAGTACTCAAATGTCAATATTGAATGTTAGTAAGGACTAAATTATACCGTGTGATAACGGCCTCAAATTGCCTCCAATCCAGGTCAAAGACCGCTCGCCTCCCCCAAATCTCAACCATAATTACTTTTGCGGTTATTCAACCATTTACCAAGATAAAAACCATAATATCGGCGCATTAAGCCAGTCAGGCATAACGATGTTTTTACCACTGCCGAGACTAGCTTTGGCCATAAATATAGCAAGCTAGCAACTTCATTTACTTACAGAGAAACTTACAAATATTTATGCGATTCAATCAAGTTGAATTTTTTAATAGGCGATCCTTCAATGCCTTTCCTCTGTAGCCAAGTATTGTTTCCTTTTAAATTAAACCTCTGCCTTATATATTTTATACATTTCAGTGACGGTAGAGACACAAGGTATATGTCATGAAAGTGGTTGAAGCGAGAGAAGATTGGCAAGTGGAGATATGTGGTCTCTGCCTACCGCTTCGGGAAAAGGGTGTGATAATATTAATAAAAATTAATGAATTAAACAATTTTTGTATTAACAGCGACGCAAAAAAAATCTCGAGTTAAATCTAATACATTACTAGCTGACTCGGCAAACGTCGTTTAGCAATGTTATTTATTTCTAGGAAACATTTTTTTAGTTGAATAAAAATAACTATCTACTATAATAAAAAATAGGGGTTGATCGTAGAGGGATGAAAATTAGGGGTTGTATGTATTTCGTATGCTGTGTCATAAAAAAATTTAAACAAAAAGTTTTGTCTAAAAAAATAAAAATTTAGGGGTGGACCACCCTTAACATTTAGGGGGATGAAATATAGATTGTAGCCGATTCTCAGACTTACTGAATATGTATAAATAATTTCATAAGAATCGAGCCGTTTCGGAGGAGTATGGGAACGAACTTTGTGACACGAGAATTTTATATATTAGATAAGAATTCACGGTACACTCAAATTGCCTTTTAAACATATAAATAATTTTGAATTTGGACATGGTCAGGAATGCAATGCGCTGCATGCAAAAACATGTTTAGTTTAGCGAAACTTTTGTTGTGTGAGCTTCGGGTCGACATCCGCGTTAATAAATAATAAAAACCTGTTTTATAGATTTTATTGGAGTCCTAGAATTGTTCTATTTGGATTAAACACCAATGCGGAAACACTAGAAAACGATAGCCGTCTCTGTTTACAAAAGATATCATATCTTTATTATAGAACAATGATTTCGTCGTATCTGTTTTTTTTTTTATGTAATAAGAGGCAAACGGGCAGGAGGCTTACCTGATGTTAAGTGATACCGCCTTAGAAGGCTCTCAAGTGCGTTGCTGCCTTTCAAGAATTGGTACGCTGGCACGTGGCACCTGGTTCCAGATAGTGGTGGTGCGCGGCAAAACTGCCTTAAACAAGTTGTGGAAAGACGGACGTTGAGGTGTTTCGGATGGTATTTTGTATTCTGCCTTGACGTCTGTTATTTAGAACACATATATAAGATATAAAATAAAAATACGTTAGGTGTCTGATTAACACCTGGATTTGTTGCCTGGCGACATATATTTGATTTAGTAGGTACAGAAGGTTGAAAAAAATATATCGTAATACAGCTGTATTGCCTATTGGTATGAGACTTACGTCAATAATAGTAATTATATGTTTATATTTATTTTATCTTATAGTATTACTTTCATTGACCACCTATTGACTTTAATAGCAGTTTTTCATTCTTGTGTTTCTATTATAGAAAGTGTTATTATTATTCTAAAATTTATTAAATTATTTGAAATTTGATTTTCAGTTTTTCTTTATGTATTTAAAATTTACTTACTGTGGCTTAAACCTATCAATTAACTTTCTTAAGTGATTTTTTGTTGTAATATTAATGTATGTTACTTAAAGGGCCATAAGAACTCAAAAGGGCTAAGGTGGCACAAAAAAGGTTGGAAAACTGCTTTATAGAGTGCTAAAATAACTTCATAAGATACCGTGAAAACTACTTTAATACTAAAATAATTCTAGAACGTCAATCAAACGTAAATCTAGTTTCAAACGCTATCAAACCATTTAATCAGGATAAAGTTTGACATATTTAACAAGACCAGATTGTGTCATGATTGCATGAATGAATGGAAGGAATTGGAAGCTGTTGAATATAGAGATAGATTTTTGGAAATATTGAAGCAACCTCAACGGTAATTAAGTCACTAACACCAGTATTTCAATATGTTTATGCCATTTGCTTAGACGCTGAGTTACGATTCTGAATCATTGATTGAGTTTCATGCTGCAACTTGTCCAACTAGACACGGACCCATTGAATTCTGTAACGCTTCGTTTTGCCTTTATTTTTGTTCCTTACTTATATGTTAGCAAGAAAAAACGCTTGTAATTTCTATATTCTAATATAATTGATGTGTGACACTTGTAAAGTGATATTTGGATTATTTTTAAATAAGTTCTTGTCATTTCCCACAATGGACAACAATTCTTTCTGGTTGGTATGAAAAATGAAATATTTTGCATCTATAATAACGTAATCAATGCAAGGTTTTTATTTATTTATGTTGACAACTCAAACCCCTAATCATAAATAAAAAAGTACTATAAACCTCAACTAGCTAATTAATGTTTTATCCTTATCACTCCAAGGGCACTTTGACACGTGGAAAATATGCACAGTTAAATAATGCAACTATTATAGAAATTAGAAATGTTTGGGGTACGTGAATACATTTATAAATATAATAATCTTCATAAAAAATAAAACAGTGGCCCTACAAACTTTTTAGGTCTTGGTCTCAGATTTCATGATCATTTGTCAATCTAATAGGTCTCCTGTGCCTGACACACGCCGTCGACTGTTTGGGTCTAAAGCAAGCTGATTTCCTCACGATGTTTTACTTCACCGTTCGAGCGAATGTTAAATGAGCACATATAAAGTCCATTGGTGCACAGCCGAGGATCGAACCTACGACCTCAGGGATGAGAGTCTCTTAAAAACTTCATTATATTATTAAATAAATCAACATATTGAATACTTTATTGCAGTGGGCAAAGACAATGTTATTCTTGTAATGAAACGTTTTTATACACTTCTTTCTTTATCTCAATCGATTCGCAATACCTAAGAAACCGCGGAACTGCCGGGTTCCAATCTAGATTTGCGTGTTAGATTGTGGTACAATTTTCAGTAATCTAAAAACGTTCTAGACTTATACTAGACACATACGGATGGACGTGTTGATGTCACAAATAGCCTGTTGTCACGAAATGTGGTGATTATAATTGTATGGACTCTATAAGGTCTAAACTTAAGGGCTATAAGGGGCATCAGATGAAAAGTTTTTTTTTAAAGAACAGGGGGCAAACTGGCAGGAGGCTCAACTGATGTTAAGTACCTAATACCGCCGCCCATGGACACTTTCAATCCCAGAGACTATAATGTCGTACGTCAAAAACGAATTAGATTTGAAATGTGAGAGTTACATTTACCGAAAAGCCCCGATTTAAAACTTATCCTTGACACTACATATTAAATAGATATTGTTTTTACAGCGTAATAAATATAAAACATATTCCATCGATTCGCGTACCATGAACGTCGGTCACCGGTAACAGACGTGCGATGTTTCCTGTACAAATTTAAAGAGAAAACCCACCCGCACAGGATTTCCTCTAACAACATGCTAAATAAAATACTGACCAAATGACTAATTGGTTTTGCACTTCTCAGAATAATATATAAAAACATGGTCGTAGGTCATAAGTTTCGTTTCTGAATTTCACCATAACGCTTATTCTAAATTCAAAATACCAATAAATCCGGCGAGTGTAGATATCTCTATTAATAACGCTTCTTCTGTAATCTGTTAATTTTCGCATAAAATTTTCTATATTTAAAATACTACTTTGTATTTTAAATATAGAACACAGATGTCAAATATCTCATGCCAAAATTTTATTACGTAATTTTTTATGTAGGTAAATGTTGTCATTATATCAATATTATGTAGTGCAGTCTCCTGTGTATATTTACCTTATTACATAAGATATATATATATATATGTAATGGACTATTTTGATAAAATTAGAACGCGTTAGAAGGCTTTATTAGAATTAGACAATAACTACCAAAACACGACTAATACAATATTGATTTAATATTGTACATTGTTAATATAGCACATATCAAATAGCAAATAAAAATCACGACCTCAAATTACTGATCGTGTTATAGTCCCGCAATAATAATAATCAAAACATATTTTTGTTACATCAAAAACTATCAAAATTCCAAATGGAAATAGGTCGACAAATTTCAAAGGAAATATGAACGTTTAAATTCCAAGAATCGCCTACAATTGTCGGTGATTCAGCGCGTCACCCAGCTCGTAGTAACTTCGGGCTTCGGCAAGCAAAGCACGTGTTAAACTGCTACTTAGCATCCGGTACGTCAAAAGTAGAATGCGGGAAGAACGGAAACCACGCCCATATATGACGTCAAGTATTTACAACTGCGAAAAACCGGCTCTGCCAATCGCATATGACCTAAGTGGATAGTCGTGTTTTCGTTCGTTGATATAGATATTTTTTAAGTAATTACAATAAAATATCACACAAACGAAGCCGCAGTCTCTATATTTGGACACGAGATATATCTTTGATAATACAACTGGATATTAACTTTAAGAAATAAACGCTACAACAGTCATTAAGCCAAATAAACTAGAAAAATTGGAATTTGCTGATACATAATAGGCTACTTGCACTTTTTGTTTTAGATAAAGTTTGCGTCAAATGTATGAAAAATCTTTTATATAATATTTATTTTGTTATAGTACACTTAAACTCAAACTCAAAATAACTTTATTCATATAGGTAAACAAGTACACTTATGAACGTCAACAGAAAATAATGTGTCTAAATTTACATTTCCTACCAGTTCGCAAGTCAAGGGCGTAGAGCGGGCAAGAAGAACTAGCAAGAAACTCTGCGCTACTCTTATAGTCGATAAAGAGTTGTCACACCAAATTTTATATTGGTATCCCATACGGAGTTAAAACTCAGCCAAATATCCATATACAGCAAGAATATAAGAATATTTTACATTC